TTTTAAACAATGCCGATGCGATGTTAAATTTTTACTCGCTCTCAGTACCGTAGCCTTGCTCATGGTTTCACCATAGTTTGTTGTTTAACTCCGCACTCAGTAATATTCCAGCTATACGACGGAGGTCTGTAAATAATCGAGTTTGGACAAGACAATCCACGGATTGATATCATGAGCATCGATCCACGCAATTGGGATCTATGACAGGCATTAAACAAGTCAGCGAGCCTGACCACCCGATCCCGTGAGTCGCCTCTTACGACATTGTGTATCTAATACATTTCTACGAGCTCATGCTTTATAAATATATATTTTACATATTTCAAAATTGTTGAAATCGTCCGAAAACCTATCAAAGGTTAAAGATTATAAATACTAGTACTTTAAAACGTATAAAAACCTGCCAACGAAGGGCAGTAAAATAAATAGACTTATCACAGTGAGTGAGTGAGTTGTTTAAATTTTACGTCACATCTGCAATATTTCAGCCATATAGTGACGAGAACATTAATACAATTTAAACTTAGATGAATAAAAACCTGTCAACGACGGACAGTATAATAAGTAGACTATCACAGTTTAGAAGTAACTAATTGCGAACAATTAAAAGAATAATCTATGATTCGACAATACATTATAAAAACGGGCTATAGATCGCCAGCAACCAAAGTTAGGCCACCATACTAGGGACCGTGGGGACTTACGCTACTTCTGCTACCTACACGGTTCCCCAGCGGGATTTACACCATCGCTTCAGCTGCTGGTGAGGAATAACAAACTGAATGATTTGGTCTTATGATACCCTCTCAGGGCAATAATTTTACGCTACTTCAACCCCCTTCGAGGGCACAGCCACAAACAATCTAGGTTAATAATTATACACTACCATTTCGTAAAAAATTACTACATGCACATTTATCAATTAATTCTACTACTTTTAAAAAACTTATTACTAAATGAGAACTTGATTAAAAAGATCCTTTATGGATGAAATATTGATCCCTTGTAATGGCAAAATCAATACAGTCAAGCAGTACCTGCTTGTATGGAATCATAAAATGGATATTGCGATACATTACAATAGATGATAAAAACAGGCTATTGATCTCCAACAACTGAAGGTAGATCACCATACTGGGGACCATGGGGACTTACAGTACTTTAGCTACCTGCATGGACCCAAGCTGGATTTACATCATCCCTTCAGGTGTCGGCGACTATTAACACATTTAGCCTTATTAAAACAACATATATTCTACGGTTAAAAGATGTGGTATGAATAAATCTACTTTGAATGACGTGGTCTTACATACCCTCTCCAGGGCTCCGTGGAAAAAATACATACTGATAAAGTTGGTTGATATCATTACAGCGTAGTAGTCAAGGTAGTCAAGCCTCATACCAGTTTGATCCCGATCTTTGACCCATTTACACCAATAATGAATAAAGATCTTGTAGGCTCTCATAGTTTTAGAAGTATTTTGATCATTATTAAATCCCATTCCCCAAGTCTACTTGAGGAATCTATGTGCCCGTTAATTGGTAATACAGGTCCACATTTATATTTGAACAAGATATGTTTACAGAATGAAATTAAAGCCTACAATCGTCCAGTTTCTTCTGACTGCATCTCCTTACAAACGAGGCACTGAAAGCAAGAAAAATACGATCGAATTAATTTTTTCCACGGATAGCATTTTCCGGTACCGAGTCTCCAAGTGTCCAATATTGTGTGACCTCGTACCTAATTGAACACGCAAACAGTTTTTTAAATTATCGACTAGTCATTCAAACTCTGGAAAACGTGCTGTGGTGTAATGCATTGTGAAGAGGTCATCACTTTAACTCGCTTACCACTGTGCGCATGATCACTCTTTAAAAAACGCTATTTTTGGCAAAACATTCGGCACACCTTTTTCAGAGTTTATAATCAGAAAAGATTTTAAACAGACCAACTGCCAGTTGCTATGTGCAGACCCGTGAAGATCCGGAGTAGTGTAGGTCTTCAGCAGCCCATGCTTGCCGTAAAAGGCGACTAATGGGATCGGGTGGTCGGGCTCGCTGACTTGCAATTGGTTGATGCATGTCATCGATCCCAATTGTGTGGAAACCCGTGAAGATCCGGGGTAGAATAGGTCTTCAGCAACCCATTCTTGGTGTAATAGGCGACTATGCTTGTCGTAAGAAGCGACTAACGGGATCGGGTGGTCAGGCTCGCTGACTTAGTTGATACATGTCATCGATCCCAATTGCGTGGATCGATGCTCATGATGTCAATCACTGGATTGTCTGGTCCAGACTCGGTTATTTATAGACCGTCGTCATATAGCTGGAACATTGCTGAATGCGGCGTTAAACAACAAACAAAAACAAACCTAATAGGTAGGCCACTTTACCCAACTCACGAAGGTATTCTGGTATCTGACAGCATGATCAGTGTCATGGAAACCGTGCCTTTGACAGTTTGAATAGGCATTTAATTAGGCAAGATTTGCAGGTTGAAATTTGGAAAATCTATGCTATGAATATATTTTTAAACGTGAAATTTATTTTAGTATATTGTATTTATATATATTGTTTTAGTAATTGTCGTACTTAAAAACCCAGTCGTGAAACTTAAAATTTAATAGGCACTATTTTTGGTCCTATTTACTCTGTCTCACACGTTTAATTAAGTAAATAAATTTCCATTAAGAAATGTGTTAGTTTTGAGTAGAAACTTATTTCTTAATATTTGTTCATGAAGGAGACAAGAGGGTTTTTATGTAATGTAGAAAGCCTGGACATAAATTGTTTAATTATCAAAATTAGTTTGTATATTTAATGTGAATATTATATAATATAATATATATTATCCCCCGCCCCAACGAAGTTGGCGGGGGATATAGAAATGGGTTCCGTCCGTGTGTGTGTGTGTGTGTGCGCGTGTGCGTGTGCGTGTGCGTGTCCCGATATCGTTTCCGGAGCATAACTCAGAAACCGTTAAATATTTCTCTACGAAACTTTGCATGTCTATCAGACTCATGCTGAACTGGTGCCTTTTGCTATTTGGGAATTTTATAAATTTATATTTTTTACATTTCCATGGCAACAAGTTGGACTTAGGTTCTATAAGGGTGGTGTTCGTTTCCGGAGCGTAACTAAAAAACCATTAAATCCTTTCTTACAAAACTTTGCATGTCTACTAGGCACATACTGAACTGGTGCCTTTTGCTATTTAGGAATTTTATAATTTTTTATTTTTTACGTTTCCATTGCAACAAGTTGGACTAAGGTTCTTTAGGGTAGAGTTTCTTTCCGGAGCATAACTCAAAACCCATGCAATACTTTCCAACAAAAACTGTGCATGTTTACCAGACACATACTGGACTGGTGCCTCTTGCTATTTAGGAATTTTAGACATTTTTATTTTTCACGTTTCCATGGCAATACGTTGGACTTAGGTTCTACAGGGGTGGTGTTCGTTTCCAGAGTGTAACTCAAAAACCGTTAAATACTTTCTTACAAAACTTTGCATGTCTACCAGGCACTTACTGAACTGGCGCCTTTTGATATATAGCCCTTTTAGACATTTTTATTGTTTATGTTTCCATGACAAGAAGTTGGATTTAAGTTTTAATATAGGATTGGTTTACTTAAGTAGTATAACAAATAAACTGTTAAATATTTCCTTGCCAAACATTGCATGTCTATATATAAAGCGCATACTGAACTAGTGCCATTTGATATTAAGGAGTTTTAGAAATGTTTAGTTTAGAATTTCCATTGCAGCTATTTTGACATGGGCTAAGAGAAATGTTGGGTCAGTTACCTGGTTTGGGACCATAACGTGTTAAAATGGGCGGGGGATATAGATGACTTTGTCAACTATACGCTTGTTATAATGCAGATGTACTATTTCTTGCACTATAAGTTTACTCTCATCTTCATGTAGTGGATGACTGTATGGAAGTGCGGATGTCAGAAATTAAAAAGGACTCAAAAGACTACCCCCCTGCCTGTAAATATACTCACACGCAAAAGAAACGCAAGTGGTTTTAACCAAATAGGTAACAAACACGGAACCATTTTGGAAGCCCCGAGTAAAAACGCAACATAAAAAACGAATCGTCAAAACGCACCATTTCAATGAATATGTTTGTATCATGCACCCATTTCTCGGGAAATCGAAAATACACGAACTGTCACGAATTTTAGTGGGTATAAAACTGTGGCCGATTCTTGGACCTACCACTCCTTGGTCTACAATGCCACGCCTAACTCAAATTCAGAGAAACCAGGCTATCGGACGTTTGGAAGCTGGAGAGTCTGACCAAGATGTTGCCCGTCATTTCAACGTTTACATAAGCACAATTTACCTTCTCCTGCATCGATACTCCCCGTGGGGACCCGGGGAAGATAAACAAGAATGTGTCCTCAGTCCCCCAATGCTGGTCGTAAAAGGCGACCTAATTGGGCAGCCTGTTTGCCGTGGGCTGCAACCCTGTGTCGGCAGAGGAAGGGATTCTTGTGGTTGAGGGCGACGGAGCCGGCAAATAGTGCTCCTTAGTCCAACACACCACTTCGACCCTAACTTTGCCTAGACGGGCGGTAGAATGGGCCCGATTCTATCAATCGGCTGGTCACGTCATGCCCTGTGCATAAAATATTTCATGCACACTTTTGATGTTAAAAAAATTAATTTAACCTAAATGTATATCATATCTAACAATCTATAAAACTTGCTTAGAGCCCTATGCCCAGAAGGCGGGTGGCTCATGGGCCAATCTGGTGATGCTGACCTCCGAATTCTGTACTTCTCCAATTGATTGTCATGGGCCGAACCAGCCTGACCTTTAATTTGGTAGAATTCTATAGCTCTTCGTGTCAAATTTGCTGGAGTATACCACCCCTTTATCCCCAGTCTTTGCAGCTTGGAAATCCGCTGCAGCATAAGACTGTCCTTGTAGACATTCCATGGTGGGTGGGGAAAAGGGGTGCCGAATCATTTTCCTTTCGACATGGCTTCCCAACACCCTGGTTCAAAACGTAGATACATAGAATCTGACAATTCACCTGACGAAAATACCACCAACCGATCTGACTATTGGCCACGTTTTTTGATTATCGAAGCTTGTGACAAAGAACCAATAAAACTAAATCCGTTTGCAATCTCCAAAGGTATCGCTGGTGCCTGCGGAAAGGTTACAAATGTCACCAAGCTTCGATCCGGTTCTCTCCTTGTGGAATGTGCACAGAGACAGCAATCCATCAATCTTCTCGGTTTGAAAGAGTTTGTAAATATCAAGGTTGCTGTCTCTGAACACAGGACACTGAACTCATACAAGGGAATTGTCCGTGACAGGGCTCGCTGCCTGTCCGGCATGACCGAGGATGAAATAGTCAAAGAACTTGTCCAGCAGTCTGTCACAGCTGTTAAACGATTCACGGTCAAAAAGGATGGTTTGGTTGTAGATACCAACACCTATCTCTTCACTTTCGCCCGTTCGAAGATTCCACAATCGATCAAAGCCGGTTATTGTAACATCGGAGTGGAGGTGTATATCCCCAATCCACTCCGGTGCTACACCTGCCAAGCGTTTGGACATGGATCCAAGTCCTGCCGTGCCTCTGCTGTCTGTTACCGCTGCGGTGACAAGCATGAGGCCACTGACTGCAGGAAGGATGTGAAGTGTTCGAACTGTGGTGGGAGCCATATGGCATCTTCCAAATCCTGCCCTGTCTGGCAACATGAATTACAGATCATGAAAATCAAGACTGAGCAAAACCTCTCCTACTATGAAGCTAAGAAGAGGGTTGCAGGTTCTACTGCAACCACTTCTTCTATCTCTTACTCTGCTGCTGTCTCTCGTCCTCCTGTCACCACTGCCTCTATCGACTGCCAGACTGATCTGACATGGGTCAAGTCTGTGCAGCCACTTCCTACTGCTTCACTCGTTAAACCAGCTGTGACACCTACGTCTGTGACTCCTAAAAAAAAAACTGTAAAAAATGTTGAGTCTCAGACTCCTAAAGCAACATCAGAATCAGAACCAGAACCAGTTAAACTGTCAAACAGGGAAAAGAAATTATTGAAAAAGAAGCAGCTGAGAGAACAGCTGCAAACACCAAAGGCCACCTCTCCTTTAGAGGTCCCAGTAGAGGTCCATAACTCCTTTGGTCCTCTGGACATGGAGGTAACTCCATCTCCTCATGATACCAATAGGAGTACCACAAAGTCTTCCTCACGTTCGCGTGACATTTCTCCCGTGGAAGCACCACCATGAATCCACAAAATATAATACAATGGAATTGCAGAGGTCTTAAGAAGAATTTTAATGAAATACAACTTTTAATTCAAGATTTTAAACCGTCAGCTTTTTGTCTCCAAGAAACATATCTAAAAAACACAGATCTATTTGATATCCGTCAGTACAGTTCTTACCACTCGTTTTCCCCTCCTGGTGATAAAGCTACAGGAGGTGCCTCTATCCTGGTGAAGCAGGGCACTATCCATGGCCCTGTTCCACTCAATACTACGCTACAAGCCGTTGCTGTCCGTGTTACTTTAAACATAGTGTTTACATTATGTTCATTGTATCTTCCACCTTCCTCAACTATCCGTCAATCAGATCTTCAGACTTTGTACGATCAGCTCCCGAAGCCCTGTATCATCATGGGCGATTTAAACGGTCATAATCCCCTATGGGGGAGTACTGACATAAATAAAAAGGGAAAAGTCCTTGAAGATTTTATCTCAAACAATGATTTATGTATCTTCAATGATGGTAATACCACATATCTTCATCCCGCCACTGGCACATACTCTGCCCTTGACCTTTCACTGACAGATTCAAATATTTTAAATGAATTCGAATGGTCTGTCCATGATGACCTTTGTGGAAGTGACCATTTTCCAACAATACTTAAAACTATAAATCCGTCTGACGAACCACCTTCAACAAGGTGGAACTTTACAAAGGCCGATTGGTCTTTATTCCAAACACTTTGTTCTGAAAAACTAAAACCTGAAAGTTTCAGGAATGTTCCTGATCCTATACAACTTTTTTCAGATAAATTAAATGATATTGGAGACGAAAGCATTCCTAAGTCCTCTGCAAACCCCCATATACGTAAACCATGGTTCGATAACACTTGTAAACAAGCTAGGAAAAATAGGAAGAAAGCTGAAAAATATTTCCGACGACATCCTACCGTCCACAATTTGAATAACGTTAAAATCACGGGCGCTAAAGCGAGACGTACCTTTAAACAGAATAAACGTCAATCATGGAGGAACTATGTTTCAAAAATTAATTCCCGCACACCTATGTCCAAGGTGTGGAACATGATTCAAAAGATTAAGGGGAAAGGGTCAAAATCTGGAGTTCACCATCTCAAAGATGGTAATACACTTTTAACAACTAAATCTGAAATAGGCAACAAACTTGGTGACACTTTGGCAAATCATTCCTCATCATCAAACTATAATCCTCAATTCCAGAGGTTTCAAAAACAGCAGGAAAAGAAAACAGTAAATTTTAACTCTGATAATGGTGAGGACTATAACGAAACATTTTCACTCAATGAATTATATACTGCCCTAGGACAATCTCATGACACTGCAGCAGGAGCAGACAACATCCACTATCAGCTCCTGAAACACTTGCCCGATTCATGTTTGGAAACTTTACTTAATATATTTGATGAAATATGGACAACCGGAAATTTCCCTCCTTCGTGGCACAATGCTATTATTATTCCTATTCCAAAGCCTGGACGGGATCACACAGATCCATCCAACTACCGTCCAATATCATTAACTAGCTGTGTTTGCAAAACCATGGAGCGAATGGTCAACAATCGATTAGTCTGGTACCTGGAGACCAATAACCTCCTGAGTGACATCCAGTGTGGTTTCCGAAAAAACAGAAGTACCATTGACCATTTGGTGCGTTTAGAATCGTTTATTAAAAATTCCATTGTCAACAAACAACATACTGTATCAATCTTTTTCGATCTAGAGAAAGCATTTGATACAACGTGGAAACATGGTGTTTTAAAAGATTTGCATGAATTTGGATTGAGGGGCAGATTACCTCAGTTCATATCTAAATTTTTAAACAACAGACAATTTCACGTACGAGTGGGCTCTACCCTGTCTGATCAATTTGATCAAGACCAGGGCGTCCCTCAAGGCAGCATACTGTCAGTCACCCTTTTCAGCATCAAAATTAATAGTCTCACTAAAGTATTAAACAAAAGCGTTGATGGTTCACTTTTTGTGGATGATTTCAATATTTCTTGTCGTGGTAAGAATATGAATACAATAGAAAGACAGCTACAGCTCTGTCTTAACAAAATTCAAAAATGGGCCAACGAAAACGGCTTCAAATTTTCTAAATCCAAAACAAACTGTATTCACTTTTGTCGTAAATACAAACCTCACAAGGATCCAGATTTATTTTTAGATGGTACTCCTGTCAAGGTAGTAGAGGAGGCCAAATTCCTGGGCCTTATATTTGACCGTCACCTCACATTCTTACCACACATTAAATATCTCAAGGCAAAGTGCCTGAAGGCTCTCGACTTGTTAAAAGTCGTTTCAAATTCCGAGTGGGGAGGGGATCAGACCACCCTCCTTCACTTGTACAGATCGTTAATACGCTCCAAACTGGACTATGGTTCCATTGTCTATGGTGGAGCCTGCAAAAGCAATTTAGAAAAATTGGACACTGTACACCATCAAGGCCTAAGACTCTGTCTTGGAGCTTTTAGGACCTCTCCTGTGGACAGTTTGTATGTGGAGGCCGATGAACCTTCACTCGAACTGCGCCGCATTAAACTTTCACTGCAATATATCACTAAATTGCACTCAAATAAATCTAATCCAGCATACAATTGTGTGTTCCACCCTCAATATGAAAACCTGTTTCAAAATCTCTCAAACCTGGTTCCACCACTTGGAATCAGAATTCAAACACACATCACTACAGCTAAATTGGATTTAAATATTATTTCACCTCACCGTCTTCTGTCTTCTCCTCCCTGGCAGATGGTGAAGCCAGAAGTAGACCTCACTCTAACCAATCTAAAAAAGTCGGATACCAATCCTTTGGTATATCAACAATCATATAACCAATTACGCTCCAAATATAATTCTCACAGGTCCATTTTTACAGACGGGTCCAAGGATGGTGGCAAAGTTGCAAGTGCCACCGTCATTGGATCCAGAACTGTCTCCTCAAGAATACCAGATACTAGTTCAATTTTTACTGCTGAGGCCAAAGCTATCTTTACAGCTTTGACCTATATCAAACATCAAAACCAATCCAAAAATTTCATCATTTTCTCCGATTCATTATCATGCCTTCAGGCACTTAAAAGTATCTCCTCAAATCATCCTATAATCCTTGACATTTTAGAACTCTATAATGATCTTTCTACTGGCCAATGTGACATCGTCTTTTGCTGGTTACCAAGTCATGTAGGCATAACAGGTAACTCAAAAGCCGATACTGCAGCTAAAGCAGCTCTTGAAAAACCGTTGTCTCCACTCTTTATCCCGTACAGTGATTTCAAACCAACCATCAAATCTTATACTCGGGATCTCATGCAAAAGAGGTGGGACACCCAAGTAGGAAGCAATAAACTACACGAATTGAAACCAACAATCGGTCATAACTACTTGGGTTGTCAGTCAAGACATGACGAGATCGTTTTACGACGGTGTCGTATTGGCCACAGTCGGTTTACACACGAATATCTGCTGAAGACAGATGAGGACGAACCTCCTAAGTGTATCCCTTGCGATGAAAGGTTCACCGTCAAGCATATATTGCTTGACTGTGTGGACTTTGCAATCGCAAGGGATTCACATTATCAAAGTGTAAATCTAAAAGATCTCTTTTCCCGTGTCAACGGGCATCTCATCATAAATTACTTGAAAGAAATTGGTCTGTATAATAAATTTTAAATATGTATGTGAATAATTAAATGCTTGTTTTTAAATTTGGTGTAATGCTATTAGCAACTGACATTATTAAAGGCTCTGTCCATTAATTGTCATCAATTGTTTTTAAATATGACATTGTATAAATAACTAAATTGTGTATATATTAGCTTGGTCTCGTCGCTATATGGCTGAAATAATGCCGATGCGACGTTAAATTTTAACTCACTCACTCACTGCATCGATACAATGCTACACAGATGAACTTCCTCCGAACGGTCGTCCTAGGGTCACCACACCTCGACAAGATCGGCAGATTACCCGTAAACACCAGCGACATCCGTTCCTAACTGCAAGTGAAAGTGCTCGACAGACCATAGGAACACATAATCGACACATTAGCCGGGACACCGTGATCCGACGTCTCCGTTCCAACAACCTCAGATGTCGCCGACCAGCTCGTCGTCCTGTTCTCCAACCACGGTATCGAGAAACACGACTTCAGTGGGCACAGGGTCATCGCAATTGGCGTCATCGTGAGTAGAGGTGTGTCACCTTCTCTGATGAATGTCGCTTTTGTGTCTCCCATGCAGACGGAAGAGTCCGAATTTGGCGGCGTCGAGGAGATCGTTTCGCTGACAGAAACGTGGAAAGGGATCCATGGGGTGGACCTAGCGTCATGATATGGGCAGGGATTGGACTTAATGCGAGACTTGGACCCATGTGCTTTCTGAATGTTGGTCATGTTCCATTTTTTGCACAACATCAACAACACATTTTCCAGCAGGACAACGCTCGTCCCTATGTTGCCAGAGCTACAATGGCCTTTCTGCAACAACACAACATCCGTATTCTAGTGTGGCCAGCCCTAAACTCTGATCTGAACCCCATCCACCACTTGTGGGATGAGGTTCAAAGGCGTCTGCACAATGTGCGCCCAGTCCCTACATCTGCCGATGAACTCCGCACAGCTGCTCTGGATGTGTGCAGGAAGATCCCTAGGGCCTTCACAAATCGTCTGATCCACTCAATGTACAGGAGATGTGTGGCAGTGACCAATGCTAATGGTGGTCACACCAGGTATTGACTGACATTTTGGGTATTGACCCGAAACTGTGTCAGCCCTTAACATTTGAAAAAAACCCAATTATGTCATCTGCCTTTTAATCCATTAAACTGTCTTCAGTCAAATTTTTGTCAATCTTGCTCTATTAGTATTTCTTGTCTTTACTGATGAAAATAAATAAAATGTATACTGCATACTCGACTTCCGTTTCTTTTGCGTGTGAGTATATATTGATCCCCACAATAATTATCCAAATTAAATAAAATAAA